GAGAGAGAGAGAGAGAGAGAGAGAGAGAGAGAGAGAGAGAGAGAGAGAGAGAGAGAGAGAGAGAGAGAGAGAGAGAGAGAGAGAGAGAGACGCATGCCTTTTCCTGTGCCCAAAAATAACACGAGAACTATCTGGAGAGAGAGAGAGAGACAGAGAGAGACGGTGTTTATCGCGCGCGACATGGACTTTTTTTAATCAGGACATGCGTGCACCTGCTGCAGCTAAGCTCTTTGCAATCACCGAGCACGGCGAGCAGTGAAGTTGTGGAAACCATGTTTTTTTCGGAAAGACAACTCTGGAGTCTGGATGTCAAAAACTTTGACCATGCTCGAGCTCCTGGGGTGCTGCATCTACTTAATTGTAAGCATGCGTTTTTTCTGTTTCGGCTGCCCGTGGCGGTGATCATTCATGATTCCTCCACCCATGGTTATGGAACTTAGGGGCTCATTAGACACTCCTCGGGCGTGTAAAATCCCCGAGGAAATCTTCGTTCCACCTATCCTCGGGGAAAGAAAACGAAAAAAAAAGTGAAAAAATTTCCTCGGGCCACAGCCATTTTGCGTTTTCCCCCAAGGTACCTCCCGAGGTCCCTTGGAGGCGAAGGATCTGCAATAAACGGAGCGGCGAGGGCACCCGTCGTCGGCAAGAAATTTTGGTCGGCTGGTCCATTGGAGTTCCTACAATTGGTCTTCAACGTTCGGCCTCCAGGAACCGTACCCCAACGGCAACCGTTGGTGGCCTGCCGACTCCCGCGCACGTCGTCAACAGCCGTTCTCCCTCGCAGTGCGTGGCGCCAAATGGAAAGCGGCCCAAAGGACAGAAAATTCAAATATTTGAGGCCGGCGAACTTTCTATTCCCAGCTACACGACGCCAGTCGAACTGTACAGTCTGTCGTTTGCGGCCCTCTTCTCGTCGCCGTTTCCTGCCGTCGTGTCGTCGCCGTTTGCTGCAGCCGTACCGGTGTCCTGTACTTACCGCCCTTCCCCACGTGTTGTTCATGGCCAATGTCTTCCGGAGACTACCGCTGCTGTTCCTGGTGTTGGTCACACTTGTCCTTGTCGTCGTCTTCCACGTGTGCATCCTCGGTAGGCTGCCTGGATGCACGCGCAAGAGGCGTTCCTCGAAGAAGGGCGTCATCATGGAAGGGCGGCAGGCGAAGAACAGGACTCTAGTGGACCGAGTCGCAAGCCACGGCCCACGGGACACACAGCGTCCCGACATGCTCTGCAGTGCCATGGTACGATCCGTCTGCATACTCCGATGATACTCGCACTTGCCACCACAGGAACAACCCCTGCCAGACACGTCAGATGAGGAGGAGGAGGAAGCACGGTCACGTACCATGGCACTGGGAAGCAGCTCCACCCAGGAGTGGGCGGGGAGCCAGTGAAAGCACGGAGGACGACCGACTTGCGCACCCCCGATGGCCACGATATCTTGTCACGGTAGACCACCAGCAACGCCACAATGACGTCCCTCACCGCCAGCAAACCTGACGCTCTGTCGATGCCGAAGTTACACGTGCTGCCCTCATATCGAGTCATACGTCTCCCCCGACGCCCACCTGTACAACGCGTACGCGACGATCTGATCTGGCTGCAGCGGCTCCCTGTAGAATGTCACACGGCGCTGCAGCAACGGTGAGAGAGCTTCTGCAATCTCCCGGAAGACACGTGGTGACATGCGCAGCTTGTCCCGAAAGTAGTCCTCCGTCGCGTCATCGCATTGCCGCAGATCCTCCCACTCCCCACCCGTCCTCCTTTTCATCCACCATCTCGGCGTTGCTCTGGGAAGAGTTCCGCAACCCAAGGTGCAGCACACGTGAACGACGACATCGCAGATGGCAGCGGTGTCCAACCCAGGGCCTTCCAGTGCTGTGCACTGCGTGACCTTCCTCCTCCTCGCACGGATCTGCGCTTTCATTCTCCCCGCCGTCCTCTCCATCTGACAACGAAAGAGGACTGCAGTAACAGCCGCTGCCACTGCCGTCCTCTCCGCCGTCGTCAGCTTCCCACCGACGTCAAGGTCGCCGCCGTCCATCGCTCCCAAACGAGCCGCGAGGTCGTATTCTCCCCCGACGTCTTCCTGCCTGGCCGCACGCAGTACTCGCCCCGATGACTGCCGCGATGGCGTCTCCTCCCCCGACGACTGGCGTGACGGCAACTTCTCCCCTGGCGACGGCCGATGGAATCTTCCCCCCCACCCCCAAGCGACTGCCGCGATGGAGTCTTCTCCACCGACGTCTTCCTTGCGTGGCCGCACTCAGCGCCACGCCTACCCCCCGACGCGCTGCGGAAGGAGCCTCCTTTCCGACGTCCTCCACCAGCCGCCGCAGCACCACGACGAAGCTCCCTCATCCCAGCGACGTCATTCAAAATTTGAATTTCGAACCCGGACGGCGTGCCAATTTTTTTTTTTTTTTTGGGTCGTCGCGAAGATTCGGATTTTTGCCGCCAATTGAAGCTGGACAACAGCCGTACCAGCGGACAACCGCCCATGGACCACCAACCCCACCCCACCCCGTGGTCGCCGATAAGATTATTAACTGGAGGACGACTGGCCGCGGGACGTCTATAGGAATCCTCCTCGGATGCCAATGGTGCCCATCCCGAGGATAAGTGGAACAACGGCGGGAAAAATCTCAGAAGCCCTCCTCGGGCCCAGAGGACGCCCCGAGGAGTGTCTAACGAGCCCCTTAATACTTATGGTTGTGGTCTTCGCATTCTATCGTAGCAGCATCTTGATCCCCCTCCCATCTTCATCCCCTTCCCACTCTCCCTCCCCTCTCCTCCTCCAGCACCCTTCCACCCAACAGCAACCTGCCACTACTTCCCACCCCGTCCACTGCAACGAACATACACCCTCCCACAGTCCCACTTATATACCACTTTCCCTCTCAACCACTATCCTATTGGTGGGGAGGAAAAGATGGACATAGCGCCAAGTTGCCAACAACCTTTCACCCGCCCTTGACACATCGCTTTGCCACTCAGTGCACTCACGCTCTTGTTCGATGAGAGGCATTGAGAGCATGCAAACCAGAACAAGATTAAAAAATCAACATAGTCTCTATCCTGTGGCAATGTGGCATCTCTCTCTCTCTCTCTCTCTCTCTCTCTCTCTCTCTCTCTCTCTCTCTCTGAGAGAGCTTGTTCTCACGCGCACACTGAAACAAAATCGATCGTTAGACAATGGGTGAGCATCATGTTACTCATGTATGTGTGACTAATGTGTCCATGCACGCATATGCATGAGTGTGTCACGGTGTGTGTGTGTGTATGTGTGTGTATGTGTCACTCTGTGTGTGTGTGTGTGTGTGTGTGTGTGTGTGTGTG